CTTTTTTTTTTTTTTTTTTTTAATACATGCTTCGTGGTCTCATTTTGTGAATACACACTTGTTTTAAAATGAAAAAAAATATATAGTCTGAATACTAAAAAAATATTTTCTGTGAAAGAGCTGTAAAGACAACTCCCTAGGTACCCCTCACTATTTTTCTAACCCCATGCACTAGCGCTGTAATGGGTGTGCTGGGAATTTGTCCTGATTTGACAGAGAGGCACTGTAAACAGCTGCACTAGAACCACCATAGGCTGACTTTAGCTTAATTTTGCAATCAACAGCCTCCCTTTCTTAACTCTTTGCCGTCTGTATTCCATTCTTGGATTTATATGCATCTCCGAGGGAGGCGGGGGGAAGAAAAACAGTTTTGTTGTTGGCCTGTTTCTTGTACGAGGTTACAGAAAGAAATTCATACATTCACCATAACTTTTTTCTTTTAACATCTAGTCAATCAAATCCCTTTAGTTAAAGAAACAAATACTGCCAAAAAGGTTTTACACCACACACTACCTACCCATCACAGACCATCTATGAATATTCTGAACTGACTCTTCAAGCATGGACTTATTTGTATTGTTTTCTGTACTGCAGAGCACTTAAAATTTAAAGGATTGACTCCTACGTTTGCGGACAGGCAAACAGATGCTTCATTTTTTTTCAGCATTCCCCTTAAATGTTTCTGAGGTTTTAGGCTAGACACTAAGACTGCATGAAGTGTAGGAAAAAATATTACGTCTTTGATTATTTATATTACTAATTGTCAAGATGTACTAATGCTGAAGGGTATTACACCATTAAGGAAGACATGAACATAAGAAAGTAACACTGTATCAGTAGGGACTTCTAAAGAAAAGATTTACCAGATGAATGCTTATGAATTACTGTACATGGAAGCTGAATCATGTAATTCAAGACACATCTTGTCTGATCAAATTTACTACAGTCACCAACTGTAACAAAATATGATTTGTTGGGCATTTCTTATTGCTGTTCTTTTTTTGGAGAAAACAATCTTCAAGATCATACGGTAACTCATACATAACTTTACACACACCAGCATCTTCCAAGTAGTTAAAGGCTTTTTCAGAAATCAACTTTAAATTAAACAGTAAGACATTTAAATAAGATTTGCAGATTTACCTCAAGAATTTGATCACCAGCCCAAAGTCGGCCATCTCTAGCTGCTGCGCCTTCTTCATAAACTTCGTGAATAACTATAGCATCCTGTGGGAATTACATATCTGCATTACTTCGGCATTGCAAACATTTCTTAGAAGTGGTGGCTACTGACCCACTGCATGCAGCTCATAATTTAGTGCCAATATATTGAGAAGACCCAGCATTTCAAGCGCTAGTTGATGTGAAGACAAAAAGAATGTGACATAGGTCTTAAATATTTGCGTGTAAGAAAATTTCTGTCATAACCTTTTATCAACAATCTATATTTTGGTTAAAAAGATTTTATTCACCACTTCAGAGTAGTCTTGCCTAGTACTTCTTATGCGACTTCTATCATGTTTATATGCTGGCATCATATATGCAGCAATATATGAACTCTGTGTGAACTAGTATATTAATCTCATTTACTTTTTATGATATAATTTAAAACCAGATTCTTCAGAGTTATGAATAGTTTTAAGGGCTTGGCATAGATGCTCAATGTTAAGTGCAAACTTGATGCTTTGTGGTAAATAGCGTTGGTTCAATCTGTGAGAAATGAAAGCCAGAAGAAATGAACACTGGCAAGCATTAGTTTATTACTGAGGTTGGAAAATGTAGGCAGTGGCAGATGTAGCTTCAGGGAAGGTTTCAGTGATATAATCTTATTGCCAGCAGTAGATGTCTCTAAAGAAAAAGCATTACAGAGAACATACTGTTCTCTTTTTCCTAGCATTTTGCTTTTGCATTGTTTTATTTTTTCCCCTGAAGCATATAGGTGAATGCTCAACAGAAGGCATTTCTGATACTGATAACCAGAGGCCTAGTGAGCTCCTTTGATGCCCTGTGCAGGGAGGAGGGGGAAGCAGAGAGCCAGCCAGACAGATGGGGATAGATATACTATTCCAACCGCTGGAGACTAGGTGGTTGGGGGAGTCTTATCTGCCAGGTCTTGGGTTCTTCCACTGCTGCTGCCGTGGCAGGATGGCACAGGCTCAGTGCACACTGGCTGCACCAGAGCCATGGTACAGACTCCCCCAGGCGCTGCCATTGTGGTTCACCCTCGAATTTGGAACTTAGGGCTGATGTCCCACTCGCCCACTTATAGATACGCTACTGCTGACAACTGGCCCCCGTCTTCAGAAATGCATGCCACTTCATAGTGTAAAATGTGCTTCTCTCCTTTCCAAAAATGGAACCTCAAAGAATCATCCACTGCAATGGAAATTTAAAGTCTGTAGCTGATAATCACGTGTGGCGAACCACAGTTTGATATGCGTATATCAGATGACACTTAAGTCTACCAAAGCAATATCTTTCCAAAAGTCCTTCCACTTCCAATACACTACCATTCCAATACACAACCAAATGAAATCCTTTGAAGAAAAAGGCTTGAGAACAGCAAAAGTCAAGACCCTGGATTTGTAGTGCAGATGAGAGAACATAAAGTGTGTTTGTATTTTATACATGTTTTTAGATGCTGTGTAACTACATGACTTATCACAAGGGGACGTGACAAGAGTTAACTTCATGAGTCTTTATTGGCATACATGGTGTAACCTGAACAGAAAGAAAAATCATATGCCCTGAAGCTAATCCTGTGATCAAGACAACCATTGAGAACTTTCCTCTGTTTCAATCCCACTACACTTTGCTTTGATGATATGGACTCAAATTTACAACCACTCTGCTGTTACTGAAGCACAGCATCATTGTCAAGCCCTAGTCTTTGATACACTTACACCATTAATCCAGGAAAAAAAGAAAAAAAAAACTTTGAAGGGTTTTAATCACAAATGGATTACAGTTGATACAAGTATCCCTGATGCAAAAGAGAGATTTTAATCTGCATAAAGGAAGGAAAAAGCACACTGAGCTCTGTAATCAAGTTACCAAGATAATTAAAAAATCAAAAGAATACTTTGATTGAAAGGAACAATACCAATGGCAACTGTAGGGTTTTGGGGAAATGAACCAGCTACCACCCTAGGAACTAAGGGACAACATGTTCATTTACATTTCAGCAGTCAGTGCCTCAAAACCTCCGATTTAATCTTTTTTTTTCTTTCCAGGTTTTATATCTGCTGAAAAAATGATCAAATATGCCTTTCATCTTGGAGAAAAACTAGTGGGATAATGCTGACAAACATTTTCTAATCTGAAATGGGTCGCGGATCTCAGCAGTAAGTTCTGAGAGGAGGCCGAAAACCATGTAGCAGGAGCCCTGTCCCCTTATGCATTAGTTCTGTTAAAGTTCTTTATACTTGAAGGTTTCAAAGCACTTACTAAAGTAAGAGCAGTATCAGACTTCCAGTTTTACTAGTAGATGAATGGCTGTGAGATAACTTGCCCAAAGCCACAGAATAGATCAGTGTAACAGCCACAAATAGAATGCAAAACTTCTGACACTGGCCAGCAAGACTGTGCTACCTCCCAGCAGTCTGCTTTAATAATGAGAATAATTTTCTCCCACTCCTTCATCTACCCCTCTGATAATCCAGCCTGTGTTGAAACCAACCAAAATGTTAATTACATTTTAAAATTGTACAGTTAGACACCAGCAGGTTCACTGCAGCTGCAGATTCTAGAATCCAGAGAGATTTGAGAATAGCACAGCTCTACTTATTTCAATCAGTTCTGTTTGCACCTGTGGATTCAGCATGCAGCCAAAGCATGTAGTCATCAAGAAACAGTGTGAGGACAGCGAGTCCTGTGAGTCTCCAGTCCATACCAGCACCCGACTTGTAAGAGCTGGCCAGGAATTCTTCAATAAAACTCACCAGAAAATGCCAAACTATCGAGGAGGAAGAGTCACTTCTGAGGAATTTCTTATTTTACAAGCATTTCAAAATTGGTGGAATAACATGTTTTGACAAAAAAAAAAAAAAGTTTTAAAAATTTCCTTTTACTTCAAAACATAAATTACCATTAAAAAACCCAGTAAAGACAGCTACAGTTGAAACTAACATTTTGAAATCGTATTCTGAAATCACACAAAGGAAGCATTTCAATCAACTGGAAGTTTTGCAGATTTTTGGTTTGTGAAAATGAGATTTAGGATGGAAAAATTGTGAACAATCTTGTGAGACAAATTTTTCTGCCCAGAAATTATACTCATGACACCAACAGAAATGAGGAAATGCACCAGATGCACACAACAGACCATCTGGGCAAAAAGTTTCAACTCCAGAGTACTGAATGCAGTTTTTCATACTGTTACTGGGCAATGATATAATATGAGCACAAGAATCCCAGTAGGTATGAACAAAAGCCTCAAGACTGTAATCACAATAAGGTACAAGTATGGGAAAGCAGAAAGTTCTGCAAACATCAGCATAACGTGGAAGGCAGAGAAACAAAAGAAAGAAGACAGGGCACAGACAGCAAAACAGGTCTCAACAGAGGAGGTCTAGTATCTGCTATCATTGCTGACTGTGAAACTGAGGCCAGGTTAATACTTTTTCTATTTAAGTTGTATTCTCACGCCCCGATAAAGTTTAGACCCCAATGTACTAGGCATCATACAAACACACAGCAAGACAGTCCCTCCTCCCTGTTGGAGCTTATATTTTAAGGACTGCAGTAGTGGAGATAAACGTGTACTGGAATAAAGAGATAGTCTATGGCCAAATCATGAGGAGCCATGTAACAGGCCGCATACTTGCTCGGTACAGCAGGCTGCTGGCATACACGAGCTACAGCTCAGCTGAAGGCGGCAAGAACCTAATTGCAGGCCTGGCCAGGAGAACTGGGCCAGCTGGTAAAGATAACTGGCTGGCCCAGAAGAAGTAAAAAGCTCCCAGGGAAGGGAGACTGGGGAACAGAGAGTGAAAGACTGTGAGAGCTGGAGAGAGCTTCATGGCTAAGGGTAAGACGGAGCCAGGAACTCTCAGGTTCTGGGACAAGACCCCACTGTGACAGGAAACTTGTTTTAGAAAGCGAGGGAAAAGTGTAGTGCTGAGGAAGCAGTACAGAGCCAAAGTTGCCCTCTCGGGATCTGGAAAAAGATCCTAAGTTTTGGGAACCCTTTATTGGCTCTGTCTGTTTTATTTGGAAAATAAAGAACTGTTTTAACTCCAAACCAGCTACAGGTGGTGGAGAATGTGGGCAGAATGAACTCCAGCATCGAGACAGGAGCTCTGCTGAAGGGACTGAAGCAGCAGCAGCAGCAGCAGTTCATGACAGATCAGATGCAGCAGTTTGAGAGAAAACAGCAACAGCGCATGCAGGAAGGGACATTAGAAATCCTGGAGAAATGGCTGAGTTCCCAGAAGAAGCGTGGGGTTGTTGATCACACAGAGAAGCTGGAGCATGAACTGTTAAAGCCACAGCTCTTTGCAGATGAGCAGGCAGAGCACCTACAATGGAAACTGGAGGGTAGGCATATACAAGAGATAGAAGGGCTGAGAAAGGAATTGACCAAACTCAGCAGTTAGTCCGTGGCCTTTTGGAAAGAGAGGCAAAAGGCTCCTAGAGTAGATGGAGGCTGAACACCACCACCAGAAATAGAGAGGCAGAGGTAGTGGCTATAAAATGGCAAATCCTACAGCCGGAAGCCAAATGGGAAGAGGCCCAAGGGAGGTCTGCCACTGTGCCATAGCCACAAAAAGAGATACAGAGCCCTCTGGGCAGGGGAAGGCGGAGGGGGCAGAGATTGAGCAGGCAGAGGACCACAACCCAAAAGTGAACCCAGAGAAAGACAGACAGACAGATCTAGGAACTACCACACCTATGGGGCAGGTTGTATAGACCCAGAAAGGGAGTCGAGGAGGTAGGGCAGGGGGAGAAGACCCCGAGAAGGACTAAGAAGTTTCCAGAAGTGGAGAGTAAACCTCACTGGCCAAGCACAGGGGTGTAGAAGCTGCAAGGCAAAGAACAGGTCCTGTGGGTCACTATGGGAAATAGGTGGACCCCAGCAGGAACCAATGCTGGAGACTACAGATGGAACTCCCACCCATAACGTGAAGGACAACAAAAGTCAAGACCCCCAGGAAAGTCCTCAGAGATGATCGAGAAAGAGCTGAAGCCAGATGAGAAAACAGTAACAACACCTGCTACAGCCATGA